GTTGCATTTTTTCTTTTACTTGATTTTCTATTATTTTTTCTTATCCTCGCCTATTCTCTCTCCCTGATACTCGTAATCGATGAGAAATATTTCATTTTTTATCCCTTAACAGTTAAGAACTGTGCTGAGCTTTACAAGAGCGGTCAAACCATCAGTCGTGTTTATACAATCGACCCTGATGGTTCAGGTGCCTTTGATGTCTATTGTGACCAGACAACAGCTGGTGGAGGATGGACAGTGATCCAGAAGAGGATGGATTACACCATAAATTTTAACCGAACTTGGGAAGACTATAAAAATGGATTTGGTGACTTCCTCATTGGTGAATTTTGGCTCGGACTGGACAAGATCCAACGCCTGACGGAAACAGAAAACGAACTCCGCGTGGATCTAGGAGTAACTGCCTGCAAAACTGTCTACGCACAATATGAAGGGTTTCGTATTGAGGATGAGACAAATGATTACAAGCTGCACATTGGCAGTTTTTCGGCATGTAAGTCAATTTCCTCTTTCCTAATCAATGCACTTTTTCATAAACGACAGTTACTATCACCTCCCTTACACAGGGTAGATCTCAAAACGTATGTCTCCCAAACGACTGTTTGCCTTGAGAATATCAGTGTGATTCATATCTGGTTATGCATATCACACTCATGAGACTAACCCTGAAGAACTCATTTACGTGAAAGTTGCCTGTGATTTGGTGGCATAGAATCAATCAGGTGACACGGAGACCTGGGATGTAGAGGAAATTAACTAGTGGTCGGATTTGATTCAGTACCTTTAACGCTCTAGAATTCAAAATTGTTTTCTGAAATGTCGCCTCCACAAGAAGTAGAATCCCATCGTTTTATACACAAAGATGGGCCAGAGATAGGCTTTCAACAATTACGAATAGTTTTTATCTATAAATGTAAAAAAAATTGACTTTTTTCCTCATTTTTTTGTTTAGCTACATCTACTACAAAGAATTCCCTATCCACACATAATGGCATGTTATTTCGTACCTGGGACAGATCTCCAGCTGACCATAATTGTACATCGGTTGGGGGAGGCTGGTGGTACCTGAAAGACTGTAGAATTTTCTCAAATCTCAATGGCATCTACCCTTGTGATGGAACTCCTTCTCATCAGAATAATACAATCCGCTGGCCAGGAATACATGGTGTAGCTGAGGCTAACCAGGCTCCGAAAAGAACTGAAATGAAAATCAAACAAAAGGACTTTTGATCGTGGGTGAGTGGAGGGGAAGGATTTTGTATGTGTTAGGATAAAATTTTCCATATTCCCCTACAAGGCTCTGTAATATTTTTAAGTTTTTCCCTTATGGCAGTCAAAAACAAACATCCTCCACCCACCCAAGCGATAACTGATGTCTGGCTCTTAATTATTTGTGCTGATTTATTTTACTTAACGTGAACTCAGTTGCATATTGTGAAGGGAAAGTCAAGTTTAAATTTGGGATAGTTATCTAAGATTTACCAAGGAACGTGCTTTATTTGAGAAGTATTTTTGATGGAAACAAAACGCAAAATTTTCGTAGAAAGTTTATACCGGTAAATTAAACTACATCTGACCTTGCCGTCAGTCAGTTAGATCCAAAAGTAAATTTCTAGAGGCATTAATTGCAATTAGGTCAAGTCCTCTTCATAGTAAATTAGACCGATTTCAAAGTTTATCGTAAACTTTATCCGAAAGCATTGAGATAAATATGTGCAGTAAATAAATGATATTATAAAAGCCTTCTGTATTTATATGAATTATGTTTGTGGTAAAAATTAGCAAGGCCCAAGTCCCAAGAATTATGTAAACCTCCTGACCGTTTCGTGTGTTTGCAAAACTTTCTTTTAGCGCCTCGGTGTTTACATAATGCTATGCTGACACAGAAAAGTCCTCTATGAGCTAAATATCAGTTTAAAGGGATACTCTCTCGCTTGAGATGAGTTTTTGAGAAAAGACGGATAACAACTTAAATAAAACAAATCTTATGAAAAAGGGTAAATCTTTTGTAGTTTTTGTTTAAATTTGAAACTTTTCTCAATGTGTGGTTCGAGCGTAGGGGCTTTGTCTCCCAACGGAAGTGATGTAGAAGGGAGAACTCATTCAACTTCCGGTGAGATTTCTTTCTCAAGAGCACCGGGATTTCTTCAAAATAAAAACGCGCCCCAAAAATAAAATAATACCGCAACGATGTGTGGCCGGTGGATGTTCCAATACACATAGCGATGGAGTAAGCCTTCATAAATGGCCCGAAGATCCTAATTTCGCTAGGTTATGGACGAGAGCCGTGAAAAACTCGCGATCCGATTTTGAGAACCCAACAAACTCTAGCCGTCTGTGCAGCATTCACTACTTCACTGCAGATTCTTTTGAGGAACAGTCGGTTCTGGCGAAATCGATGGGTTAT